CTACTACTACTACTACTACTACTACTACTACTACTACTACTACTACTTTATATACTACTACTACTACTACTACTACTTTATATGAAGAAATGCAGAAGAATGTTGCACTTGCTGAATGCGCTCTGACACTTCATAGGGTTTATACCGACAAGCATGCAAGCTAGGTCCTTGAGAGCATCAATGTCCAAGCCAGAGTCTATCCTTGGTGTTTGCTTGATCAAACCATTCAAGTTGTTTTGCTCCAAAGGTCTCATTTCTGGATCAAGTTCCTTTGCCTCGAAGATGTGACACCGCTCCAAATTGCACGGCACTTTCTGGACCTAAGGTTGCCTGAATTGCATATGAGTTGTTTTCTGAGTTAGGGATGTTCAGGGTATTTTAGGTATACATTCATTCGAGCATGGACGCTGCAGGGAATCTTCTTGGAGGGTTTGGAAGAGTTCGCACATCGACATCCAAGAGCTCTTGCATAATTACAGCATATATCAACACGGCTATGGGCATCTTATTTTGGACATCTCGTAGTGCTTTACCAGGAAAACTCAAAAGCAGTGTCTTGGATGACATGCCTTTGAATGTGCCCTTAAGTCATTGTTGGTTCAAACATGGCGAAACACTCTTTCGATATCTTTTGATACTGGTCAAGCCGATGGCTTTTCCTGGACATGTTGAAACACTCAAGAGCAGCGGCAGTCATGTTGCACTCAGCATTACCAGTGGAACAGGCCTTCATGTATATACCTCCTCTCGTGCATCCATGGGTCTCATCTAGAATCGCCAACTTTGGCTGCAAGATTGCCATCTGTAGCATCTCATTCCTGGTGGATCAAAACCGATCAGTTCACGACTTTCTATTCTGATTCAAAAGCAGCTCCTCTTGCGCTCTCCGCCGCTGAAGCCTTCAAACAAGTCACTGAATCACACCAGAAGCATTGTAGTTTAACATAGTTTAACATAGTTTAACTACGTCTGATGCGTTTCCAAAGCATCTGCCTTCATTCACATTCCGATTCAGGAAGTCAGGGTTAATTTTCAGCTCCTCCGTGCAAGTGGGGTTCTCAATCATCTCTTGTCAAGTACAACTCGATCAACTCAACGTCAAGAGTTCCTGCAGCTTTTCGCTCACGAGTCCGTAAAACTCGATCACATCGAGCTCCGGCTCTTCTTTGGCCTTGCTGGACATAAACAGCAGTTTCGCACACAGGCACAGATTCGGCTTTGCCCAGTGAGAAGTTGGGACAGTGAAACCAATCCCAACATCCATCAAAGGCATGACAAAATGTCTGGCGCATAATCAGCACGGAAGTAATGGCTCACTTCAGGGATCTTTTTGCCATAGCACTTCGCTCTTGATCCATCTTGCTCCTAATCTAGTCTCATCAACATTAGCACTTGGATCCAGTCATTGCTGTCCATTGTTTTGGCATTCGGAATCGCTGAATGCAGCGCTAAAATCCATCGACTACAGGCAACCCAAAACACTGCTTAGTGCCATCTCCACCTCGGACCGGTGTTGAACGTGGTTGAGAAAACCATCAACAGTTTAAGCAAAATACCGTCAGTAAGGTCTCAACACTAATGCTTGAAAGTGTAACAACCCAACAACGAAAAAGACGTTTTTGAGGACTTGGCCAGTGTTGCCACCGAAAATGCGCCACCAATGATGGCACAAATGGATGTGAAGACATAGGACCAGGGCTTCACCGACTCAGTTTGCTTCATCAAAAAGGGGCTGAAGTCGTAGACCAGGAAGACGCCCGGCAAGCCAGACAATTCACCCTCCTTGACTTGGACATTTCTGGCACCTAGGAGTGACTCGGCATTCGATTTCACCGAATCCCGAAAGAACAAGCTGCATTCCGTTCAGAACAAGCTGCTGTCAGTCACTGAGTACTGGTTGGTATAGGTGGTAGTTCCCCAGCGGCTGATGTATACCGTTGGAACAAGCTTGATGTAATAGTGATACCTTCAGTCATGAAGGTTCAACGCCACAGCAAAAGAGTGGTATTTTTCTAGCATGTCGTCCTACCAAATGCTAAGGATCAGGCATCCATGAACCTGCCCCAGCCTGAATCAATCAGCATGTTTGCACTTCCTCAAAAGAACTATGGGCAAAGTCTGGGTTTGGGACTATTTTTCTGGTTCCAACCAGTGGAGACTGAAGTCCTTCCACATATTCTCCTGAACATAGCAAGGCAGACACATCAAATAATCTACTTTCCTGTCAAAGGTCTGTTTTGACGAGTCTCCGAAAGTAATCGAATCAATGTAGTGTGAGGTATTGAAGCCATCACCTCACTTTGCGCAAATATTCCTGGGGTTGTATTCAGGTAGCAATTACAGGAACTGCCGCCCTCTTTTCTGCATGTGTGGGCTTCTCAAGGTTTGTGCCACTGACGGTCTTCTTCCCTCTGAAAGGCCAATTCTAGAATTCTGGTTTCAGGACCTGTGTTGGCATCTGCTGCTATTCAACCACAACATGCAATCCATGGGTTGAAACATGTCAAAGGTCAACAAACAAACACCACAGTAGGAGTCTTGTGAGAAGGCTTGGCCATGAAAGAACAAACACCTTGCAGCTTGAATGCAGCTTGTTCAGTCCAACAAACGTCAATGCATGCACCAATATGCTCGGCAAATTCTCGAGTGAATGTCCAAAGTATTACTTCTGTCCGCTTGATTTAAAGCTGGGTTGTATTTGTCCAAGCTGCCGATATCTTCGATGTTGAACTCATGAACCAATTTGCCATCTCGTTGAACAGATTTTCCCAAGGCCACGTGAATGTTTCCACTGACCTCTGAAGCTGCGAACCGATGATATGTCCGGTATGGGTCAAGGATCAAATCCATTGGAAAAATCGTTGAACGACAAGGGCATCGTTCAAAGGACCTATTGAAAACATTTGCAAAACATCACCTGTATTGACTCTTGACACCTTACCCCTGATTAAGCCAACATATAAATACATTTGGACAAGCCTTGGCTTGACCAAGCCTTGTTTACAGTGACCTTGCCCTTGATCTTGCACCCGATAGAACTTCTGCACTGCATCGCAGAGTCCAGAATGTGGAAATATGGCACGCCCTGCCAGCGGCACTGAGTTTACCGCTGCCCCCGGATCGACCCTCTACATCTGGAAAGTAAAGAACACAAACATTTTGATGGTGGAGCCAAACTCTGGAGTCAGATTTCAAGTCTCTTTTCATGAGCTCAGGTCTGTCCCACCCGGTTTCCACATTAATCTATATGAGTTGTTTGATCCAAGCATCTAACCGATCTAACCTCTGATCTACGCAAACTGCAAATTATGAAGCATGAGATGTGATGAGCAACGGCGTAAGTCTGTGCAAATATGCAGTCGCCAAGTTTGTGGTGAGCTAGGCCTTGTCGTTATACGCATTTTTCAACTCCTGGCAGCTATTGCAGCACCTTGGAAACAATGCTGCTGCGAACATGGACATCTGAAACTCCAGGCTCAAGAGTGCTCGTACAGGTTGTGATGTGTCGTATCCCAGGGCAGTGATGAAGTGAACCATGAAAACTGCGTTTATATAACACTTGGAGAATTGGAGATGACTAGGAAATGGTTTGACCAATGCGTGCCGGTATGTGTGTGTGTGTGTGCATTTCTGCCAAAGCTTTGTATGGAATACACCTTCCAGAAACTGTTGCACATAGAAAAACAACAAAACAACAACACAAATGCTCTGATGTGGCGTTTGCACGCATACCGGTTTAATTTGAGTGAAGAGGAACGTTTTTGCAAAACTGAGAACCTCCCAAGTTCACGGCCTACGAACAGGGAAACGACGATTTGACGACGCTGTCAAGCATAACATGTCTGCGTGAATGAGGCTCTTGGCTTAGCCTCTTGCAATGTCGGAAAACCACACCTTTCAAGTGATGCAGGTATGCTGGAGTGGACAACTCCAGTATTATCCCACCAGATTGCATAGCATAGCTTTGTTGGACATGGTCTAAAATCTGGTGTCCTGTTGTGTCTCAAGTCAATGTATATATATAATCTACAGTATACATATATATATATATGTATACATATTCTATATAACAATTGTGCCAAAACGCTTGTGATCCGCATCTGCAGCTTCCATACAAGACCAACAGTCTCCAGGCCCGGCAACGGGGTCACCTGGTCAGGAAATGCGAAACTGGTGACGCCCAACGTGGTATCAGCTACCTCCAAAGTGCAAGCTATCATGAGCCACGCATAGCCACGCCATGCTAGGGCACCTTGGGACATTTTCCCCGCTGCATCTAAGTTGTGCATCTGAAGACCACCATGAGCATCCACCTGGCAGGAGCTCCGAACTTGAGCTACTTTGCTCACTGGCCTAAGGTTGCAGCTGGGCCGCATAAATTTCCAATTTTGGTATTTTCAAATTCCATCCAAGTGGCCTGAGTATCCCCGGCGGAATCCACTGTGTCCACTGACACCTTCGCAAGCCGCGAATCTTTGGTAGACATTCTGGAAACAGCGAGCGAGATGTCCGTTGTTGTACTCTTCTCCCTGGCTCTCCCTCTTGGTTCAGGTTTTGAGCTTACTCGGCTTTCTTTCTGCGAAACACCAAACAAACGAACGTTATATTTCCTCATTAGGAATCTGATTTTTGCAACTCACCACCCCCAGCGCACCTCGGAACACCGCAAGTGAGGAAAGGTCATGTCTAAAGAAATCGGCAGCTTCCGATCGATTGAGGTGTCAACCTGAGAAGCCGAACTCAGACGAGAAGTCACACAACAGATCACTCGAGTATCGGATCCCTTGTTGGTTCTCCAGTATCGGGATGTCTATGGATGTGATGTATGATCTTGTATGATTTCATGATATTTCATCATAAAGAGTGTTTCAGTGTGTTTTCTCAAGTGCTGGAAGGCACTGTGATACTGTGCAAAATCTCCACAGAGAAGAATTCATAAACTTCACCTGGGTTGTAATTTTCATGGGAAGCAAACATCACGACTGCAATCAATGCACAAAATCTCAACTGCGATACATTTCTAGGCCTTGGTGACAACGGCATCGCCACAAAATGGACACTGCCCGGGGCCCTTTGTATCCTTTGTGCGTACCAAGAATCAGTAGAGAAGCATTGCCAAGATGGCGGCAGTGACCAAGGTGACAGCTCCGCCACTCTGTCGTTTCTGGACAAAGTCATCATGGACCTCGGTGGGATCGACACCCTCAGATCCTGCACAAGGCCAATGTCAAGGGGCAAAGCAGTCCGCTCTGGCCTTGTTGTAAACATCGAATCGCTTGAGCGTCTCCAGAGCACTGGATGTGGGAAATGTCTCGGGGTCAGCGGCTGAAGGGACCTGAAGCAAAGCAGTCTTTGCGATCGAACAAAGGCAAAGACTGAAGATGTACAGTGTCGTGTAGTTCTTCATGGTTCCAACGGTTTTGCAAAGGTGTCTCTCAGTCTTATGATTCTCGTGATCCTACTCAAACATTGGCTTGGATTTTCAGATTGTTTCCATTTCAGCTCTCTAAGCGGCATTTCGACGGCGTATGCCGGAGCTCGCTGACATTGGTCGGCTTCAGCATCAGATGACGATTTTAATTGACAAATGTTTTCCTGGTGTTGAGGGGAATCTACACAAACAAGTCATGGAAAAACATCCGATACGTTTTCTACTTTTGCTTGCATGCATTGATTATCCTTGATTGTCAGAGTCTTTTTGATTAACATATCCTAATGCTTTCTTTAATGGTGAACGTTTCTCTCCCATGGCATTCCCTTGCATTTGAGCAAAGCTGCCAGACCAGTCAAGAGTCTAGAGCTATTTGTTAGACAATCCACATTGACTGTCTGTCGATATAACATAATAACCCGCATAGCTGTAAGATCATGCAAGAATTAGGCTGTGGTCCAAGCACGACGCTGCGCATTATATGCAGCTCGGAGGAAGTCCAAATTGCTGACCTAAACGTCAACAAAAGCATGAGTGCAGGCGGTTTCACCGCGGAAATGAGCTGCTATAGGTTTTGGACTCCACTTACTGCTGGCGGTGACTGGAATGCCAAGAAAAGGCCTTCCAAGGCGCGCTCCTGGACAAGCTCAAAGGCCATGTGCTTTATCGCTGGTCCATAGGGGGCGCACATGAGGTTCCATCTCTAAAAGGTCGGTCTCTCCCAGCGTAGCGCTCCCAGTGGTCACCTAGCGCTGAGCTGTTGTGAGCTGTTGCACAGAAGATCCCCAGGCCGAACGTCATAGATCGAAGGCCTCGTATGCTGAGTCACCAATCAGAACCTTCGCCAAAGTACTCTTCCCAGAGCCTGAGACGAAACATCTCGTTCAGAATGGGGTTGTTTTTCATTTCACTAAATACACTTCTGCAGCAAAACATCTCCAGTTCCAAGCGACCGTTTGGCCCCATCACAGCATGGACCTGCCATTTGGTTGAAGGACATGGCCCACCGCAGGCCCATGGGTCGACTTGTATGGATCTATATATGCACTATTATGCACTCATACAAAGAATCTGGGATGTCAAAGGCGAAAGGACGCATCAATGGTCTGCTTAAAGTCTGAATATGCAACATGTATGCAACACATTACCGGCACTCACTGCAGATACACATCTCGACGGAAATCACCGAATATAGAGTACAAACGGAACACGGCACGATTAATGATGGTTCACCCGCACAACTGAATAACCCTGTCACATCTACCCTGCGTGGAGATCAAGTTGGACAACATAAGTCTACTGAAGTCTTGCTGAAAAGGTCCAGCCTCACCCTCTCTGATAGTCAGATTGAGGCCCTTGAGGATTTGCTTCTGGTCTTCATCAGTACCTGGGTCACACAAAAAGCAAGAGAGACCTTAGCATCGCAGCAAGCAGCAGGAAAAACTGAGGGGCACTTTGTGCTTTGACGTCCTTCACTTCAAGGATGACCTGAGAATGAAGATGCCAGCCCAGTTGCATCCAGTTGCTCAGTGATTGTTACGGAAATGGCAACTTCCAGACTTCAAATATCTTATCAAATGATGGCATTCAAATATTGCATAGAATTACTTATGTGACCTGTCTCAAAGACCCCACTGGCGAGTCAGCAGCTCTTCTGACATGGGCATGTCTGCAGCTGCGCAGGCCCTTTGGCCTGCGTATCCAGGAAGATTGAGTCTTTATTGTGAAGCTGTAGTATTAATAAGATTTAATAAGTATTATACAGGCAGCTTGCCACTCTACAGTATGATGCTAAATAAGCATCTGCAAAGGCTTGGCAAATCACAGCTCCAGGTCCCAGGTGGCAAGAATATGTTGTGCAGCACAGAATGGTCTAACAAGATCCAACAAGTTCTTTGGGCAGATAGCTTTCTTCGGATCCATTTGAGCCCGTAACGAACTTTTCACACTCTGGAGACCTTGCCCAAGGGTTGTTGCAAGTACACAGTGCATTGGACAGTGTTGCGAGCACCGGCAGGGTTGGATCAAACATGGGGGCTGGAATTTTGTACTCCCACGACTCGTGTACGTCATTTCTGTCATATATCCCCACTGGAATAGCTTGGAGGGTGGTCCAACTTGGACGCTCGTTGATCTTGCTACCACGGAGTGTCATCGTGGGCCTCGCGCTGGATGCCACCAAAATCGCTGCAGAGGCTGCCACAATGCCTAAAGGATTGCAGGGCACCCTTCAATGGGCCCTTCATTTATGGAAGCTCGATGACTAAACTCAACTTTCGCAAGGAAGGCAAGCAAACGGAATTGGCACCTGGCCTCTGTTGATATGTCTGGACGTTCCAACCTACAGAGGTCAGCACACACTGACTGATCAATTATGTTAAAAGTTTCCCTCATGACCCATCGTCAAGGATATTGTCTCGCCTTCCTAGCAGGGCGAGCTGCTATACACGTAGGATGCAGCAAACATAGTAGAAAGATAAAGACATATATGACGACAATGACAGCGAGAGTAACCTCTGAACATGCACTCTGCAGCCTACTTATTTTGAGTCAAGTGAATTCTAAGCTCCGAGCTGGAGGAGCAGAGTGAAGTGGCTTGGTCGGCTTGGTCTGGAGCACGTCACGCCTGGATGAGCCAACCTGAGCACGTCGTGATTCAAGTCGGCCAAAGCATAATGGGCGGAGCAGCCAAAAAGCTGCTTATATCGGTAAACTTGCCATCATGATCTGTTAACCTCAGGTTCAATCAGTATAATACATAACTACTAGTAACAAGAAGCTAGTAGGTTGGAGGCCATCGCTACTAGTAGCAAGGACGCCACTGTCATATAATATACAGTATTTCACCATCTGCAAGCATGCTGCTGCAGGTGAAATGGTAGCGACGTCCATTGCAGCCATCATTACTGCCAGGGATTCAACACTACCTACAGAGCCAGCTTGACGGCGTGGCAAAATGTTGAAGAGTGCTCCAGGACTCCAGGAGTGCTCGGCCTTGCCCACATCCTCATGTTCGTTCTTCACGTCTTCACCACCGAAGTCGTTTCCGTGTTCGATGGTTTGTCTCGCCAGCCATTTTCCTTCATGTGTTCATCCACCAAGCCCAAGTCACACTGAGGCTTTGTGAAACAGAGTGGCATGGTCTCCGCGATTAAACATCACACTCCTTGGCTCCTTGGCCGATATGTCCTGCCATCTACCGCCAGCTACACATCTACACATCTCACATGGCCTGCACCATCCAATGATTGGATCACAAACTGCACACAGCAAACAAAGCAGTAAACATGCTGGACACGGCGTTCACAGGAGTCATTTGTCAGTCAGCAAGACGCTAGATGCGTATTCTGTTAACCTGACATGTTTGGCCAACACAACCACACGTTCAGTTCCCGCCCCAGAAGTTGTTTTGTTGTGTTTGGGTTTCTTATCGGGGTTGGTATTAAGTGGGTACCTTGGGGGGTGCGATTTTATAGTGCTAAAATGCTGGGACCAACCCCCCTCCAATGAGGGTCACTTTTTGACCCTATAAAATTGAGGATAACATAGGAAAAGAGCCCAAATACAAAGATTTAGCTCTATAGAATTGAGGGCCATTAGTCTGTCAAAAGCTGTTGAAAGTTGTGAATATTAAGGGTTTTTGTCTATAAAATTGCGGGTCCCAAGGTACTCCCGAACAGGTGTTGTCGAGTTGTAATCTGAACCTGGTTCTCTGTTAGAGTCAAGGGCCATGGGTCTCAAAAAACCTGTTTCTGTATAGAATCAAGGGCCATGGGTCTCAACAAAACATAAAATTCCAATTTCAAAGGAAGGTATTGATTTGCCAGTTGGTAGGACCACAATTCTATAGAGAAGACAGCAGGTGTTATGGAGAGGATTGGAGAGGTAAGGATCTGTGATGATCTCTGATTTTATAGTTCGCACAGCAAATGCCAAAATGGCAAAGCAAATTCTTACAATCCTAAAAAGCCATAGTTCGCACATCTTGTGGATCTTAGTGAAATTGAATGAAATTGAAATGTATTGCATTAGGATGCATTAAGATTTTTCAAAGTGTTTCAATGTATTTCATAATTATAAGGCGTTCCCTTGCTAGGATGCTCCAAATTTGCCAGCGTCATCATGCGTCATCCTGACTCATTCAAGAACCCATTCCCCAGGGTTCTTTTGAGCAATCCCAATTGGAATCAAGCCAAGAAAAAGCAATCTCTATAGAATTGCGGGTCATGACATCCAAAATCATAGAAATCATTCTCTATAGAATCGGTATGCCCCAGTCATCCAAAATCCCTTCACTATACTTACAAGCCTCATCAAGCCTCTATAGAATCAAGCTTGTAAAGAACAACAATTCTCTATAAAATCGAGGCTCTTGAAGGACAGGACTTTACAAGCTCCATATGAGCCAAGAAAAACTGGCTTAAAAAATGGTCTTTTCGGGGACCCAACCCCCGCGATTCTATAGAGGAAATTCCATCCCCTATGGTTTCTTCGTGTCTTTGCTTGTGATTTATTGGTTGGTTGGTTGGTTGGTTGGTCGGTCGGTTGGTGGGTTGGTTGCTTGGTTGCTTGGTTGGTTGCTTGGTTGCTTGGTTGGTTGCTTGGTTGCTTGCTTGGTTGCTTGGTTGCTTGCTTGGTTGCTTGGTTGGTTGGTTGCTTGGTTGGTTGCTTGGTTGGTTGCTTTGTTGCTTGGTTGGTTTCTTGGTTGCTTGGTTGGTTGCTTGGTTGCTTGCTTGCTTGCTTGCCTGCTTGCCTGCTTGCCTGCCTGCTTGCCTGCTTGCCTGCTTGCCTGCTTGCCTGCTTGCCTGCTTGCCTGCTTACCTGCTTGCCTGCTTGCCTGCTTGCCTGCTTGCCTGCTTGCTTGCTGGGTTGGTGGGTTGGTGGGTTGGTGGGTTGGTGGGTTGGTGGGTTG